TTAAGTTTATCAAGCGACGAGAATACTTTTTGTGCGCAAAAAAACAAACAAAAATGACGACTTTATTCAACTATTAATTTCCTTCTCTGTGGGCCGTGAGATTTCATGTAGTGTAACAGCGCAGCGCTTCTAGGTTGTACGTCACACACGCATCACACACATGACCAGCGTCGGCCAATAGTGAGCCTACGTGTGACGTACAACACAGAAGCCCTGCGCTGTTACACTACGTGAACTAACTCGAAGTTTCAATCCCTTAGAAGCCGATGGAGGAGTGAGACAGCTCTTAGATTTCATCAACAATATCTTAAGTTGTGTTCCGAAGATGAACGAAAGTCTTACGGGGTTGGAACAACATGAGGGTGAGTAATTACTGACAGAGTTTTCATTTTGGGGTGAACTATCCCTTTAAAGCAGAGGAACCTTTATTCTTCTCTCTCCGATGGCTTAGTCTGAAGAGTCTCAAGTAATAGTTACATGAATGCTACACTTAAAAAAATCTGTAACACTTTAGTTTAGGGTCAAATTCTCATGCTTATTAGCATGCATATTACTAGGACATTGGCGGTTTATTAGTCCCTATAAAGCACATATTAATTCCTTGCGTGATCATCTTCTACATCCCATATTCCTATGCAATACCTAAACTTAACCACTACCTTACTAACTATTAATAAGCAGTAATTAGGAGATTATTGAGGTAAAAGTAGTAGAATATGTGTTCCCCAAACTAAAGTGTGTCCAAAAAAATCAATTTTACCATAAAAAATACAGTAGTAACATTTTAGATTTTATGGATTGAACTTAAATTTACAATATAAAGCTTATTTAATTAACTGATATAATGTTAATATACCAACCTACCAAAGTAGCTACTCAGATGTTGTTGTTGTATCTTTATAATACACTGACAACCACCAAAACACACAGGATTAAAGAGAAATTCACAAGTAGTTTTTTCTTACACTGAGGGAAATATCCACACTGTGTCATACAAAAAAATACAAAACACCATCCTGGTTACACATGACCATATACTGCAATCTAGCAACATAAGATGTAACATAAAACCCTAATGAACATAACTGATAAGAAACATCTAATAAGAAACATAATTTAAGTGAAAAACCATCCAATTTGAAGCATCACATGGGGAGTTCTGAGAATGTAGAAATTTAACAGTATTTTACTGTAAAATTACATGAAATTTCCCATTCGATTCGTTACAGTTTTTCACTGTATAGAGTAAAGGGCACTTACCGTTAACGAATTAACTGGTTTTTACAGTAGCATTTTACAGTATTTTACTGTTAAAATTATGATTATTTTATAGTGAAAATTAAAACTCCTCTCAGAGTTGAAATGTGAACATGAGTTTTAAATTCAGAGTTCAATTTTGAACATGAAAACAACATTTGTGCATACCCTCAGATGAACTCCTGCAGGTGCTCCTCACGTGTGTGTGTGTGTGTGTGTGTGTGTGTGTGTGTGTGTGTGTGTGTGTGTGTGTGTGTGTGTGTGTGTGTGTGTGTGTGTGTGTGTGTGTGTGTGTGTGTGTGTGTGTGATAGATGCCCTGACTGTAGTGGGGTCAGACAGGGATCATGATCTGCAGAGGCGGAACATTATCTCCTCATGTTCTCAGGTTCAGAGGTCTAAAGGTCACATGGCCTCATAATGCTGGGTCACTTTACTCCATTTCTAACACTCAATTAGAAAGAACCTGACATCTTCACACACAACACACAACGAGTCATATGCACACACACACACACACACACACACACACACACACACACACACACACACACACACACACACACACACATACACACACACACACACACACACACACACCTCTATCTCACAATCAGCACTTTATATCACTTTCTCTTAGTTATGCAAAAATCTAAACTGAACAAATCTACACTTTTGGATATTTCACCCAAAAAATTAAAATTCTGTTATTTCAAACGTATGATTTTTCTTTGCTGTGTAGAATACAAAAGAAGATATTTTGAAGAATGATTCAACTGTTTTTGTCCATATAGTGAAAGTCAGTGGGGTCCAAAAAATATGACATTGGACTGCTGAGGCACTTTCAATATATCTTCTTTTGTGTTTGCAGAAGCAAACCTGACTGTACAGGTTTAGAGCAACATGAAGGCGAAATGTTAATACCCTTGTGACAATAAAGTACACTTTAGCATGCTTGTTACGGAAATAATACATTAAAATAAATAATATACTTAAGTACAACTTAAGTATGTCTGTATTTTCTTTGGTTAAAGACAGTTTAATATAGTGTACAGTCAAATGTAAAACTAAAATATACTTAAATGTCATTTTTATTGAAACTTGTGTCTGAAGTCTTTAAATTTGCCATTGGTCAGCAAGGTGCAGGCATGATGAAGAGGCAGATGATGAAGATTCAAGACACAGAGTTTAATACACATCCACAGATGGCTTAGAACAGACACAACTAACATGAACGAGACCGGACAAACACTCAGTGAAGGTGACGAACTTAAAAACACATGCTGATGAACTACTGTGATGAATGAAAGAACAAAGGAAACATGTGATTGAAGAGAAACAAACTAAAAGTCCATGAAAGTGAAACTAACTGAACATAATGTGACACCATTATTACAAAGTACACTTAAGTGGCCTATTTCATTCATATTAGACATGTAATCCTCGGGTGCTGTTCATGTTTCAGTCATTTTTGACTGAAAATGATTCAGTTTTTTTTTTTTTTTTTGAATGTTTTACTTTATCAGAATGCCTGGTATGAAATTGGTAAAGGTTTTGGCACTTGCTTTGTGAACACACACACACACACAATACATGATTCGAAAAGGTTAAAAATGTTGTCTAGGAAAAAAATATTCGTACTTTTATTATAAATGAATGGGAGACAAATTTCATCTAGTGGAAGCGTCGGGTACTCCGCCCAAACATATTCTTACTGAAAGAAAATGTTTTGAGATATCAACCTCAAATTTGGAACACAGCTTGTTTAGATTTATGGCTTTAAATTTTCTCACTTTTTAGAGTAAATTTCATATTGTCATATAAAAACAGACCATTTTTCATAATTATAAACTTAAACTTCTATAACCGTTTTTTAGTTTCACTTTTGTAACTTTTTTCAGCAATAATCTGTCTTTACAAAGAGACGAAACTGAAGTGTTCTAAAGCATTCAGGATTTATTTCATTTTTGAAATAAACTACATTCAGTATGATCGGGTAAATGGTGATCATTCATTTTGGGTGATCTATCCCTTCAAGTGTGTTGTATCCTAATTTTTCGGGTCACAAGTTTAATTCCTTGCTGAAGTCTATATACCTTTGGATTCAAGCATGTGGCAAAATGCATAAATCTAATGTCAACTGGTACTCTGGTGGTTTTTAGACAGTGTCTGGTGAGCCATAAAGTGGCCACAACCAGCGGGGGAAGCAACTATGACATTTTCCTTTAAAATCACACTTGCATACTCTCACACCCACTTGCATTCAAACATACAAACAAGTGTACACACACTCACATTGATGTTTCCAGGATGCGGTGCTCTGCTGTGTGCATGGACGGGGTTTCCCTTCTCACCACAACAGCATTTCCGCCAGTGCACACTGATAGAGGAAGACATTTAGATATTAAACGGGTATTGTGGCGGATCTGCCTTTATTCTACAATTTACTTTTAATTGGCTGGAGGCTCAAAGTACATTATTTATTTATTTATATAAACAAAATCTCTCAATATCTCAGACTTAGATAAGATATCACCAGTTGCAATTCACTTGAACATCATTTAAAGATCCTCCAAATTCAGAACGTTACATTTTTCAGTCTCGGACGCAGTTTGTTGGCGCTTTATTCCAAATTGTGATTTCACATTTGCTTTTAGGAATGTGATTATTGCCGGATTTGGAGAAGTGATATTGTCATAGCAGCCGGAGTTACGTCTGGTATTTATCTGGTTGTCCTGCCAAAACGCTCTCTCTCATGTTGCCACCTCCAGCACTGTGACAGGCTGTGTGTTTTATTTCGAGATGAGACGCTTGCAGTGATTCACAGCCCACCAAGGCCCTGAGACACGTGCGGCATTACAAGATTCTCCATTAAACACGTTCATTTACCATTTGTAACGACTACATTGAAATGTTTAGCCCGAGTTGATCAGTCACAGAAAACCTGGGATAAGTGCAGACAGAAATTAAAGGGACACATCATGATACAACTGACTTTGTGTAGAATTTAGAATATTGTGACTTTATGTGCAGGCATCAGTATAAAGGCCATTACAGTGCCAAACACTTTTCTCTATGATGTTTCTTTAGTTATAAATGTGTATTTATTTATTTATAGGAAATATGAAAAAAAAGTAATAACAAAAAATAACAATAATAATGATTGTCTTGAATTATGTACAGCAAAAAGGAAACCGATAAAAAACAATAGCAATAACAACAAAAAATTTATTGATTTATGTACAGAAAAAAAGAAACAAAAAACAATAGCAACAATAATATTTTATGTACAGCAAAAAAAGAAACAAATAATGACAATAATAATAATAATGTGTTATTGATTTATTTATTTATGTACAGCAATAAAGACTTAAAAACAGTAGTAATAATAATGGATTATTAAATGAAAAATAAATGTTTTATTGATTTTTGTACAGCAGCAATAATAACATACTCTTTTTTTTTTTATATAAACTAATTATGAAATTATACAATTTAGGATACTTTTTTTTTTTAATCATGTGGCACATTTATCTGAAAGAAAGACATGAAATGATTTGGATCTTTCTTTTCCTGCGTTGATTTTCTTATTGGATTTCTGATTGAAACAGGATGTTGGAGTGGGTCATGTAGAAGCGTTTGTTGTTTTTCGCGTAGACAGTTGATGTTACAGTGAGGCAGAAGCACACTTCACACTCACAGTCATGATCAAGAGCAATGAGAGGCTTTGCTGCTGTTTTTCTAGGTAACTGGGATCCACTGGCATTTGTTCAGAGGTTTGGTCTGGCTGGCCCAGTGGCTTCACTTCAGTTCCTCACCCAAAACCACAAGGACTAAAGAAACCCTCCAACCTGCAACTGACCTTTGACCTCTGGACTACACTCTATGGCTTATTTGTTTGCCTAGTTCTGATATTATATCCCATAATACTCCATTGCACATCAGTATTTAGGATCATATTTAACTGATAAAAGACACACTGTGTTGTTTCCTTGTAGAAATGTGTTTTGAAGTAATATCACAGAACTTTGAATAAAAGCCATATTTATATCATTTCAAGATTCTGAATGTGAGCCGCATGTCTATAAAATGTTGTGCATATTAATGGAAAATAAATCTACTTTCCCACAAAGTGTGTTTTGAGAACGTCTCTCACTCTCTGGTTCTGTTCCAAAACCTATGTTGCTGCCAGCTTACTGCTTAGGGAACCGCCTTCTAAGGCATCGTAATGGATCCTCCTAAATGGACTCCACATAGCAGAAAATATGCAGACATTGTTTCCTCAGGGGTGAAACAGCTTGTCACTGGGGCAATACCCTTATACAATATACACTGGAAAGTTGTATAGTAAAACCATAGTACTTTAAGCCCAAAGTATGGGCTTAATTATTTTAGTAAATCACATAGCCTTTCAAAGTAGACTGAAAATGCGCACTGGAGAGATTCATCCTTGTCCAGTGTCTGCGTTATTTCTCTCCAAATTTAACGAGTTATACAAATTTATTTGCACTTGTTTAAATATTATATACATGATCTGCATTGTTCTTCACTCATCCACAAACTTGGATGAGTTTTTCAGTACACTGATTCTGTGATTGGCTTTTCCTCAAAAGGACATGTGCTGCCAGCTTAGAGTTTGGGTGAAACTAGGTAGCAATATGATGCCTTCAGAAAAAAAATGTGCAAAAATTGTTCCTTTTTAGGAGATACAACAACTTGTCACTGGTACAGTACATTAGAAGGACAAATGTGCACCTTAATTTACCCTTTCAAAAGGAACATCTGTGTACTTTATTTACCCCTAAAGGCAGTGGCGTAGAGCAAATCTGAGAGCACCCAACACCCGTCCCCATCCATCAAAATGAGTGTTTTATTCACATTTAAACTTTGATCAGCGAACAAGCTCCACCGAACCTGTTTGATGCACGAGAACAAACCAATTGCAGAAGCTCAAACGTGATGCGTAACACGAGGACAAACCTCATTGGTTCTCGCAGAAGCTCAAACGTGATGCGTAACACGAGGACAAACCTCATTGGTTCTCGCAGAAGCTCAAACGTGATGCGTAACACGAGGACAAACCTCATTGGTTCTCGCAGAAGCTCAAACGTGATGCGTAACACAAGGACAAACCTCATTGGTTCTTGTAGAAGCTCAAACGTGATGCGTAACACGAGGACAAACCTCATTGGTTCTCGCAGAAGCTCAAACGTGATGCGTAACACGAGGACAAACCTCATTGGTTCTTGTAGAAGCTCAAACGTGATGCGTAACACAAGGACAAACCTCATTGGTTCTTGTAGAAGCTCAAACGTGATGCGTAACACGAGGACAAACCTCATTGGTTCTTGCAGAAGCTCAAACGTGATGCGTAACATGAGAATGAACCTCATTGGTTCTCGCAGAAGCTCAAACGTGATGCGTAACACGAGAATGAACCTCATTGGTTCTCGCAGAAGCTCAAACGTGCTGCGTAACACGAGGACAAACCTCATTGGTTCTTGTAGAAGCTCAAACGTGATGCGTAACACAAGGACAAACCTCATTGGTTCTTGTAGAAGCTCAAACGTGATGCGTAACACGAGGACAAACCTCATTGGTTCTTGCAGAAGCTCAAACGTGATGCGTAACATGAGAATGAACCTCATTGGTTCTCGCATGTCAAGCTCACATCTTTGAGCTTCTGTTTCACAACTGATGTTTGAGTTGATGAATGTTTATATGCGAATAAAAGCCTAAATTCAATCTGTTCATCATATAAAGCGATTGAGTCTCTCCAGAAAATTTTGACCAAACCAGTCAATTCTCTTTATGAATTTTTTGAAGTGTCAAAGTGGTAGTTGCGTAGACTGTCAATAGCATAAATATGAATAACACTGTCACATTGTATGTCTTACATGCATATTGTTGAACTGTAGCATCCAGCCTTAAACATCACAAAGACAAGATAAAATCCAACCACGTGTCCTACACACTCACACAGCCTGCCTGTTTCTCCCTGAAACGGACAGTCTATTTCTCTGACTTCCTTACATAATCCACCCTCAGTTACAAACCGCCGTAGTTTAGCATTCCTGTTTTCTTGGCAGTGAGAGCAGGCCTGGACTCTTCCAGACAGCTCAATACCACACAAACCAACAGTAATACTGTTTGAGCTCTGAGGTCAGACATGCAGTGGAGGTGCTTCAGGCGCATGATGACTTCATGCCAATGTGAAGTATACGTGTGCGCAGAGGAACGAGAAAAGATGGACAGCAACAGAAGTGTGAAAGTATCTTCAGTGCTGTCACACATTAGAAAGAGTGTGTGGAAAGAGTCAAACTGGAGGCAGGAAGTACGTCAGGGGCAATAGAGGAAGTGAAGGGGGAGTGACGGGGTGTTGAGCCACAGCTCAGCCGGAAGCCACAGTGGAACTGCCACCAAAATACTCTCCGCATGTTACTTCAGGCCAGACTCAAGGGGCACAGGTTCACGACAAGCCTGTGTGTGTGTGTGTGTGTGTGTGCTGTGGTTGAACGTATGCACACATTCACGGTTAAAGGACCTCACTTTCTGTAGATGCAGCTCTCAGTGTTTTTTCGGTGCAGCAGGTTTTGTCTTGCCTGAGTAACTTTTCGTTTATATTGGGCAAAGCATTTTCATAGAGTGCTATTTCTGAGCAGGCTTATGTAATAATTATATACATGCAAAACAAAGGCAGACAATTTCACAAACAACTAGTTTAAATTTACACCAGACATATATTTTCATTAACACCGCATTTGTATATATATATATATAGTAGTGGCCTAAAGTGAAAAGGAAAATTGGACTCTTTGCACGTTATTGAAACTTTTTAGTAAAGATTAATGAAATATTTAGCATGCATGTCGTAAAATTGTGTCTGGAGTGTACTAATGGATGGATGGATACTAATGTATTCATTCCATGTTTCAATTGTATCTTTTGTCATGATGTGTGGATGTCATTTTTGGGCGAAGTGGTCATAATCTTGAACTCATTATTCTCAGCCTATAATTTAATAAATCACTATGTGGCAGGTATTATATATTATTAGATGTTTTTTTAGTGAAAATGGCCAGATGGTAAAGGAGCCGTCCTCTGCAACCACGGAGGATATTGTTAAAATGACTAAATCTGGTCAATCGGTTTTGGATATTGCTCATATGCAGGATGTAAATGTCTACAGAATTATTTCAGAGCGCAGTGAGAGCATTACTATGCAGAATGTAAAAGAATGTAAAAAATCACCCAAATGTTGGACCCAAATGAAAATCACCCAAATGTGGGACCACCTCAAAACAGCTCCTAAAGACCTGGATGAGAGATTCATATTGAACTGTAAGCTAACAGCTACAAAAGGCTAGATTGACAGGTTGTGTACCAGACAGTAAAGAAAAAAAGAAAAAACACCTTGCATTTCCCAAAGAACATAATTAGCATAATTTGGATTTGAGTATGGAAGATTTGAAGGGGTTTTTAAGTTATTTTTTTTTTTAGATTTGATTAACCTATATCATTGGATGGTGTCAGGTTTGTAGGAGACGACTGGAGTGTTTTAACCCTTGTGTTCTGTTCGATTTCTAAACAGTAAACAGTATACTGATTTTTTTGCATATATTTTTTTTCCTTTTTTTTTTTTTTTTTTTTTACATTTTATGCTTTGAACATCGTAACTGAACAAAAAAAATTGCAGTATAATGAAAATTTTTCATTTTCCTAAGTTAACTTTCCCTAGTTTCCTAAAACCTATATTTTCCTAGTTTCATTATTCACTCACAGGGAAGTGAGAAACCAAACATAACAAAAACATACATCAAATAAATGTTAATTATTTTTTTTGGGCTCTGTGAAGCTGCCTTTGAAAATCCTACATAAAAGTTTTGGTTAAAAGCTAGGTATTTTAGATTTTTTGAATATTGAAATGAGAGCTTATTTTACTATCTGTGTCTGATAAAGATTTTCATCTGTAATTTGCAAATAATTCTGAACACTGTAATTTTAGCTTTTTCAAGTGTGTTTGGTTAGGGTTAGAGCACTTTTAGATGCACTTGCACGTTAGAACTGGAGTGGAAGTGCCCTGACATACAGAAAATAAATGTTTTTATTTTGTGTCTGTACAGTTGCTTTTGAATGGCTGCCTATGAGGGTCAAATTGACCCGCGAACATCACGAACGTAACAGTAATTTTGTTTGTATATGTCAAAACACATCAGCATGTTGAAACTTTGCATGCATGTTCATCATGATAAATGAGAAAAAGTCACAAAATATCAAGAAAAAAAACAAAGGTTAACCAGTATTTCCAACAACTTGAAAATCGAAACGGGTCAAATTGACCCGCAACATAACACAAGGGTTAATACCGAATGGATGCGTGGTGCTATTAAACACGGCAGGGGAAACACACTGGTACTGAGGACGCATGTCTGCAGCACGTGTTGGAAGGATAATAGACCAATAATTGGGAATCCTGCTGAACATAATGTAGCCAGGAACTGTATAAAGAGCAAATCTGTGTTTTACAACATGACAACAATCCTAAAAACTCTGTGAAGGATCATGTTCAAGCTCAGCATTTTGAAGTCTTCAAGTGACTTCAAGTCCTCCAGTCCCCTGACCTTAAAGCCACTGAAAACATTAAAAAAATGATAAACCTAAATTTAATACATTCAATTTCTGTTTGTTTTTCAGCAAACCTTAACACTTGTAATTTACGACACGTGTCGCATGGGATCATTCTGTGATACTTTTGCGTCTTTAAAGCTTGATCTGATCGCTATTCACTGCCATTATATGGATGAGCGCAAGAGGGACATTTATTTTTTAAATTTCCTTTTGTGGTCCATAAAAGAAAGAAGGAAATACGGCATTAGAACAACACCAGGGTGAGTAAATGATGACTTAATTTTCATTTCAGGGTAAACTATCCCTTTAATTGTTGTATTGTGCATCATGATACAT